AGTCAATTTTCCAGCCAAGAAAATAGTGAGGAGAGTTCGGGTGGTCTCTTGAACAAATCACCCCAAGGGAGAGTTCGGGTGGTCTCTTGGACAAATCACCCATTCAGTTTCCGCAATAGGGTCTGCACGCAAGGGAAGGCGCAAGGGGAAGCAGAACTTTCGCACTGTGGACCGGCCCGTGACGGGATCCTATGCACGGGACCATAACACCTTAGGGTGGTTTGAGGAGTTCTTAACCTCTCCATCATTAATTTGTTGAGAAGCCTTAGCTATTCTTATAATATTGAAATCCTATAAAAATGTCAAATATTAAGCAAGGATCAGTTTTGGTTCTTTAGGCTGTGTTTGGTTGTAGATCAAATCTTCACCAGGTGCAAAATTTGTGTCCGGTGCAGTTTTGCTTTTGTTTATTTGTAATTATAGTTTGGATCCCTACTTGATGCAAAAATTTTACTTTTTATCACATCTGTACCCATTGGCAGTGTAAAATTTGTATCCCAAAAACTGATGCAAAATTAGCCCCAACATCCTCCTATCTCAATTTGTTCTCACCAAAAACGATCGCATCATCTTGCATCCTACATTTTTCCTACATAAATAGTCCTCCTCGCACCTTCATTTTTTTTTTCATTCAAAATGGAGGTCACCTCATTTTACTTCTTACATTCACCCTTTTGCACTCCCATGCATTTAGACCGATGCAAATGAAATTTGTTCTGCAACAAAATGAAGCCTTATGGATTATAAAGGTTATGGGTTTGGGACTGACCAAAGGTTTGTGTGGTTAGAATTCTCAGTAGGTCTGATGTAATGGACGACAGAGCTAAAAATAGGTCATTTTTCTATACCACGAATAAGTGGGCAAACACATCCTTAAATCCTGACTATAATACTCTAAAGTTTTCAGTAGTTCTCAGTAGGTCTGGTGTAATGGACGACAGAGCTACATTTTTCAGTTGTTTGGTCATGTTCTCTCTTCTCTGTGTAGTCGTGCTTGAATATCAAACTGATTATGGGCTATTAACATTCCACCAATTAGGCTTTTGAGCTGTAACTATGATTCATTTTATTTCAGTGCTTTGAAGATTTTGTGGGTTTAATAAGGATTCCAAATGTTAACACTTCATCATACATTCACCGTTGAGCCCAGATTTCTTACAAACTTTTCCTATTCATTCTCTATTTGCTGTGAATTGGAATTACACATCTCTTAATTCATAACAGAGATATATGGCTCCAATTTATGGCGGGTAGAGAGTGGATAGGAAAAATTTGTAGGAAATCCCGAGTGCTCATTATTATGCTTGGGCCAAGTAACACGGAGTAGGTAACTGTTTTTTTTTTTTGTGTGTGTGTGTTTGTGTTGGACTTTAAGAGCTTGTGGTGTTTGTGCATGTGATACAATTTACAATAATTTATCATTGTTTTGAGCAGATGGGCTCTATTAGGAATCCAGATATGGGAGTGGAATCCAATTGAGCTTTAATGGAATAACTTGGATTCATGAGCTGAATATTTATTCAAACTCGAAGTAAAAAATAGAGTTCAGATCAAATTCGGATATAGGAGATTTTAGTTAAACCGAGTTAAGACATGCTGAAGCTCAGCTCATATGATTCAATTGCAATATTATATAGATCTGATCCCAACAAGCTAATGCAGTTATACATCAAGAACATCTCACCATGAAGGACAAAGACAAGGGAGATGCTCCCCATGTATGACGGTAATGACTTGTTGAGATGAGAACCCAATTCTTCCATTAGGCACCATATAGGACACTCAAAGTGAAAACATCCCTCTCTTTTGAGAGAAACAAATTTTTTTAGTAATTGTTTGGCATGGTGCTGGGAACATTACACTATTTTCCGAGAAAAATGGTGTTGGGCATGTACTTATTTTTTATTTGAAATCAGTGCTGCTACATGAAACCGAATCATCCCCCACAACGTCCCACAGCATATATCCACTGTGTATTGGGAGCATCTCCCAATGATGATATCATCATTCCTGGTATTATCATTGGGAGATGTTCCCAATACACAGCGGGGATGTGCTTTGGGACGTTGTAGGGGGCAGTCTTGTGGGTTGGGGGGGGTGCAACGTTTTCAACATTGATTTTATTATCCAATGTCCAAGATCATGCCACATCATTGTGTTGTTGGCAGCAATGAACCATTTTCTCAGAAAACATCAAATTTGACGTTACTYCAGACCACACTTTCTCAATTTCCAAGGCATGGTCTAAAATAATATTTAAAAAAAAAAAAAAACGATACCAAACAAAAGAACGTTGCTTCCAGCACCATTTTCTTAAAAAACGGCATCGATACCAAACACCGCCTTAARCTTGCTCTGATTCTATATAAATGATAGTACAACGTCAGTACAAACACTTGTACTTGAAAACACAACGCAGCAGCCATTCGAAATACAACTGGCTTAGGTCGATCCTGCATGCGGCATTATATTTGCAAAGTAACAGGATTTCCATCCGCCATACATTATAAAATTGATGAATGACCAAATAATTAATAAACAAGTAGGGTGTAGAATGCCAAACAAATCACTACAGCCAAAGCAATTGAATACACTCACAACATTAAAATGAATGTTCATCTTGTTCAGACAATAACATAGCCTAATTAAGTTGCCATTCCCCATTGATGATTATGTGTCAAACTGTCAATACATCATGGGTTGAATGGTCCAACCAAACCATCCCGTTGCCATTTTTGTCCTTTTGGTTGCATTTCTTTCTATTTAAAATAAATGGAAAATCTGGTGTATATGGCAAGAAAAGCAAGCTTTTCATCATTAACAAAAAAAAAAAAAACTTCCCTAAATTTTACAATGAAAATGAAATAGCCAAATCTCAAACCCTAATAGCTTTCGATATCATTCCTGTCATGTTGATTAGTCTGTGCTCGAGTCTAGATGAAGACGATCATTGCGTGTGGCACTGGCACGGTGGCACCAAACTATAATACAATATTTCTATTTTGTTTTAAGGTAGATAATGAGCCTCGATCACCTGCTAATAGAATATGTTCCGATACCCTCCCAGTATGATTTGACACCGCATATCGAGTTCCATTTGATGAGTCCCAGTCTTACGTAAGATGTGCAGTGTCGGATCATGATGAGAGGGTGTTGGAATGTGTTTTATTGGAAGATAATCCCTAATAAGCTGTATATCATGATAGGAGTGTCAATTTGACCAGATTTGGTCCAATTTAATATGAATCCATTACAGATGGATCAGATCTAATCCAATCTATTGAATACTTTGGGCCATTTTGAACCAATCCAATTCAATGTCTGAACCATCCAATCTGTTTAAATTGGTTTTAATTTAGATTCATACCAATTCAAACCTGGCCCATTGACACCTATTTTCTTATATTCTATCAATGGATCAGATATTGATTCAGTCCAACCCAATCCAATATAAATCAATTAAGAATGAACTAGGTTCAATCCAATCCAATAAATACTTTGGACCATTAAGTCTGGACTGGTCCAATTCAATACGACTTGTCCCCATCCAATCCATCGAAATTGATGTTGATTTGGACGGGTTCAACCCAAAACCCGTCGATTGACACCCCCTAATCATGGGTGTTTGACAGTTATAGATGAGTGAGTTGGGAGTCTTATTCCATCCATCCAATCTCAAATAAATCTTGAACAGAAAAATAGTCATCGCTTTGTGAATATGGAGGTACTGGGCCTTAGGAAAACCAAATAATAAAAGTAGAGGAAGGGGGGGATACGAAGAACAGGTACTGTTGTATATATTAACTATTTCCAAAAGCTGCATTTTCTCATGCTTTTTATAAATATTGTACAGACAATTTCATTGCTCCTTGTAATGGACACTGAACCAACCCCATGTACCTGGGTGGAAAAATAATCATGAATGGGACAAGGACCGAAAAAAGGAAGAAAAAAAAAGAATAAAAAATGGGGCTGGTTTTGAAATCCTAACACAAAAAAATATATATATATACTACACGACCAGACATGGTTATGAAGCAGGTATTACAGTCTGCACACCTGAAGAAGAATATTTCTTATGCAACTTCCCTCTCAACTGCCTGATCTTGGCATCCACCCTTGCTGTGAACCCAATCTTTGTGCTCTGTCTTGCTTTTGACCGTTCCCTTGTCCACATGCGTTGGTCCTCCACATCTTTCTTATAGTACTTAATCTCTTGAATGACATGATGGTCCATAGGATTGAATGATCTTTGGAATGACAAGTACGCCAAGTAGGGAAGATTACAGGCAGTTGTTACTAGGAGAGTGACAACCCAGTAAATAGGTGCTGGGGCTAGAGCTTCCACAAGGATATGGAAAGCATTCCCTGAATAGGTTGGTGAGGACATGCCATAGAGGAGGAGGAACAGGTACCAGGTGCAGATGCTGCCCCAGACGAACAGGTGTTGGATCCATGTGAAGTGACTCATTGTCAGTGCAACCTGGCAGTTTACAGCCCAGATAATGCAAGTGAACATGGTGGCTCCAACAGAAGCCATGTCTGCAGTCTGGCCTCCAGCACGGAAGGCCTGGTCATAGAAGATGTTTATGTTGAGGAAGAAGATAATGAGGGAGGAATAGAGACCATTTGCCATCCATCCGAATATTCTATACCAGTCGAAGAACAAGTTTCTTGGCCCTTGCTGATAAAGTGCTGGGAACTGCAAAAGGCAAGTGCATGAGTCTCAATATGGCCAACTTAGTATCTCACTCGCTACATGATATAGCACTACAACTGGAACTAACCTGTAAGCAGACATCAGAAGAAACATCTTGCTCAAAAACACCAAGTGAAATGACAGGCAACGAAGTGAGGATGACGTTGAACAGTAGCATGTACCAGTCATCATAGACAGACTGCCCCGAAAAGCCAGCGTATGCCTCAAAGTAGAAGAGGGTGAGGCCAAATGCAATATTCTTGTAGAAGAAATAGCATATCTGAATGCAGTTCAATGCAATAAAAAAAGAATATTAATAAGCTATTGTCAACATTCTTGCACCCTTATAGCCTATAATATCTATGTCAACCAAAATAGTTAGTAATAAGGACAATATAGAGGGCACCCTCACTCCTACCATCTCAGCAATCCTCTTATAGCACCAATGCCCATGTACAACAAGAAGTCTTTCTAAAAACCGAAACTGTGCAATGGAGAAGTCACTAGCCATTACAGCCTGCAAAAAGATAAACATTTGTGAGCTCGACTGTATTTTAATAAACAGTGCATGCATTTGAAGAACATGACATTGACGCACTTAAGTATTTCATCTTGCCCAAGTCCTTACAAGGATAAATCAGTAGAACCCTATTATATGTATGTATCTATGTATATATGCAACCCACATGAATATTGTTTACCAACATCTGTATAACCGTTTGTACCAGATTTTTTTAGTATATTGTTACATTATGAGTTTGTTATGTTCATTTTGCAAGTTTATTATTGCACTGCCTGTTTTTAATGTTTCATTTATTAGATATGTATCAATTGAGGCTGTTCTCTGGAAGCTAAATGGTATAGTGTCTTAGATGCCTATTAACAAGGAATTCAGTGCTGTCGCTTTCAGGCTCATAGTTGACTCCTGCTGTATAGCAACAAGTTGTACAGGGGCACTTTGTAAATACAGCCATGCACCATTCTGAAGAAGTAATTCAATAACATATACTGTATCATTTGAAATATACATAGAGCACACCCAAATTGCAATATTGCATACATAAGTTGCTTGCTTATCAAATATATTTACCATTCACTATACATTATACAATGTGTCCACACAATTGTAGTCACTTGGTGATTCATTTGTGATTCACTACATGCCAAGATTTTCATGGTCCAATAGCACCCAAACCCATGTAATCCACAACCACTTGAGAAGTTCACTGCAAATGGTTCAAAATAAAATATTGCAATTTGCAAAAAAACAAAAAAACTCTTATTCTCTTTTTTCCATCGGGGAAGAGGGGTTGGAGTTCATAACTATAAAAAAAAAAGAGGGGTTGGAGTTTAGGGCTGAGAGAGTGTGATGTTTGAAGTTCAAAATAAAATATTGCAATTTGCAAGAAAAAAAAGCTCTTACTCTCTTTTTTCCATTAGGGAAAGAGGGGTTGGAGTTTGGGGCTGAGAGTGTGATGTGAAATTCAATTCAGACCATCTGCTACCAATTTGAATAAGATCTCAAAAACAAATCCACATTGACAATTTCTAAATTATGACATAATGGGTATACACAGACAAAAGGAAGGCTATGAAACTAAGGGGGTGTTCTGTAGTGTGGACAAGAAATTGGGTTCTGTGGACCAATCCACACCACACCCTGTGGCAGGGACCAATCCACACTACACCACAGACCACAGCTGTTCTGAACTGTGGACAGACTGTGTGGACAGGACCAGTCCACACATAGTGGCGTTCTGTAGGCATGGTGTAGACCAATCCACACCACACTTTTTGATTCCATGTATCTCATATACAATTTATGAAGTAACCTATACAATCAATCACAAATGTCTAATTTTTATAATTTATATGATACATATAAATTGAAAAAAGGATTTGATCATTGAAAAATATTAATTTCAACAAAAATTGTAATAAATTAATTTAAAAAATAAAAATTAATATTGTATTGATAAAAATATTAAAAATAATATTTAAACAAACTAAATAATAAATTATTGCAAGATAAGCATAACATCAAACTATTCATGTAAACTAATAACTCATTGGTTCCCATACTAGTTGTAAGGCAAGCATATATAACATCAAAATATTGGTCAATTGGTTCACTGGAATGGCGCATGGATAAACCACCAATGTTATAATTAGTACTTAAACAAAAATAATAGAGCGACCTTCGGCGGAGCACAACAAATATCTTCCAATGGTGGAGACCTTCGATAGAGCACTTCGGCAGAGGAGGCCTTCAATGGTAAAAAGATGTAGGGTTTGGAAAGTGCGCGTGAAGCATGATAGCAAAAGCAAATTGTGGACCGACCCCATCCACGATAAAATGCCGTTGACGAGAAATTGGGGTGTGGACGGGGTTGGTCCACAAGATAGTGTGGACCGGTCCCATCCACAACAAACCGAACATTGATTTCATCCCGTGGCGTGGACCGAAATGGTCCATCCACGAGATGAACACACTACCGAACGCCCTCTAAAGGTGAGATAGTGCAATGTTGAAGTTCAAGATTTGCACCTTACACCACCAATTTGAATATGATATCAAATATAAATCCACATAGATAATTTGTAAGCTATTGCATAATGGGTATATACAGACAAAAGGATCTGGGCTATGAAACTAAAGGTGATACTTGCAGGAGATCAATTGAATAATGGCCAACCTAAAGATAGTTTGACATGTGGATGATTCTTTTTTTCTTTTTTTTGATGGTAAGAAATAATTTCATTGAGAAAAGAAAAAGGTTACATACAGGTGAAGAGATTTCACCCCAAAGCATTACATCAAAAGATACCCCAACACCAATGTAACAAAACAATAAAAGTGCCCAGAAAATAAAAGACCGAAAATATTTGTCTAGTCTAACAGATTGAAATTATGAGTCCAACAATTCCCATAAAAAAACCATCAGTCCAACAAACTTTGGCATCACAGAATATAACATTCTATAAATACATATTTTACCAGCATATCGAAGTCTCTGAAATTTGATTTGAAGTTTATGAAGTTTTAGAAGGAAATTACCAACCTGCATGCCTTCCACCCCACTGATACCAACACCAATGTCTGCCTCTTGAATCATACCAACGTCATTTGCACCATCACCAATAGCTAGAGTGGTTTTTTTAGTTCCCTCTTTTACCAATCTCGTCACCTAGTAACATAAGAATGTTTCCAATGGAAAGACAATTCAGAATCATACTAGCAAAGAGAAAAAAAAAACTACTTGGTTACATATTTTATAAGGTAAAGGTGACAGAGTCATACCAGCGCCTTCTGCTTTGGAGAGACCCGACAGCATATGACAGAAGCACAATCAACTGCTAAATTCAAAAATTGGTGTTTTATATCATCCTCTAAGGCATATGCTAAAGTTTTCCCATCAATAACTAAAGCGAAGGCAGCATGGGGATCTTGTTCCAGCTTGATCATTCGGGATGCATTAGTGATTTGCATCAAAATGTTTTCTTTCATTGCCTGGTCAGATACCAAAAACAGTAACAAACCATAATACAAAATCAATTTCTTGAACCGGCTCTTCTTCTACATGTTCTTGATCTTCTCATCCATGTCTATATTTGTCTTTTTAATCGATTTTAAAGGTTCATCTTCTCAGCTATTTTTTGTGTTTGTCTTTTTAATTTATTTTAAAGAGAACATTCCCAGGACATCAAAACAAACGCATACCTTATTAGCATCTTGGGCTAATAAATCAGTGTTCATTGTTGTTATGCAGATCTGTTTCATGCCTTGCCGAAGAAGACTGCATGCATAGCTGCATCACATAAACAGGCATTTCATTTTAGTAATCTGACTCAGCAACTTTTGACATAAAGGGCTAGCCTAAAAGCTATAGCTTCCTAGAAAGTAGTTGTAAAACAAGGTATTTTTGGGATGTGGTAGAGGCAAACCCTATATTGATTGCAGTTTCCATCTTGTCCCCTGTCAGCACCCATATCTTAAGACCAGCTTGGGCTAATTTATCTATGCATTGAGGTACCTATTAGAAGAGAAGAATAAGAAACTCAAAAGAACCAAAAGAAAAATAAACTGATGACAATGTATGCAATTTAGGTTGGGACATTCAGTCCAACCTGAACACAACTGGACGAAACCATATCTAAGCCAGGTAAAATAGAATTGTCATGCTCTCAACTTGGATTGATGTTGGAAAACAACAAATCCCATGCAAAATCAGGTCAAGTTGGGTTTGCAGCCTCAGCCAACTTGGCTAACCAAACCAGATTTCATGTCTCTTTTTATTTACTTTATATATTAGGACATTTAAACAACTGAAAAGTGGCCATTGTCCTAGCAGAATTGTTTTTAAGAAACAGGTTGAAAGTTCAAACCTCAAAAAATCCTTTCTTGTTTAAAACTTTCCACAAATAATTACAATATAGTGAACCCAACTCAACTCATTTCAAGTAGGGACCCAGTTGAGCAATTCAGGTAAATCTTCATCTTAGGTTTCATTAGGAGTGAGTATTCAGCACTTAACCTGACCCAAGATGCACTCTTGCTGATAATGACTCTAAACTCTAAAGAGAAAGATTGAGCTTACTCCTTTCTGTAGTTCGTCCTCCACAGCTGTTGCGCCGACAAGAATCAAATCCTTTTCCATCATATCTGATACCCGCTCAAGCATGGCCTCTCTATCAGCTCCTATAGTAGTCTTTGCCTTGATAAACTCACTATTCCAAGCAGAATACTCAGACTCTTCTAGCTTTCTATATGCAAGTGCCAAAGTCCGCAGACCTGCTTCTCCATATTCACTTAGATGCCTATTTGTCTCCTCTTCATACATTCTTCCATTTTTTGATAATCGATCAAAAATTATGCTGCATGGTCCAATCAAAGAAACATATAGTAAGTGCCTGAAGGAAAACATATCTTCTTTTCTTCTTTGGTATAAGGAAATCGCGACCAAGTAGATATAACTCAACCAACATAGATAACTAGATTTATAAGAGCAATTTAAGATCTTTTATGGAAAAGAAATTCCACAAGAAATGGGCTGTCTATCAAACCTGTCTGCACCTTTGCAGAGAAGAAGAATCTGCCCATCTTCATCCTGCACAATCACAGACATCCGCTTCCTTTTACTGCTGAACTCCAACAGATTAAGAACTTTGAACTCCCTGAATATATTTGAAGACAGAGGTTAGATGCCAATAATYAAAATAGGTAAAAAATGGAGAGGCTAAATAAGCAGAACCTCATATATCCTGACCTTTCAATTATGTGTTTAAAAGAAGGGTATCTTTCTCGAATGAAGACACTTGTCTGAGTCCGTCTGCAGAACTCAAAACCAAACTCTCTTGCTGCAACAAGAAAAGCTCCTTCATCTGGTGACTCTGCCTCGTAGTTGAAACTGCCAGTTTCCTCATTTGGTTCAGGAATTGCTGTGTGACAAAGTGCCAATATCCTAAAGAATAATAAAATGGTATCTGCATTTGGCTCTTTTGACCAATTTCCATCCATAAGCCGGTTGTCCTCAAAACTGAACCCCTTTATGACTGGTTTCTGTTCCTTTTCGCCCTTAGAAGTAATGATGGTCTCCAATTCAACTTCAGACCCTGCAACATCACTTGCACCGTTCTCCCAAGAATCATGGGCACTTCTATTGTGCATGGCGATGCCAGAAATTTCAGAATTTTGTCCACTAAGGTCAAAAGCCATCTGCTTTGCTGCAGCAATTTCAACTTCACTAGAACCAACACCATAGGAAACACCAGCTATGGAACACTTGAGAAAGTCCATCTGATTGCATGTTAAAGTGCCTGTCTTATCAGAGAGGATAGTATCAACCTGCCCAAGCTCCTCATTCAGATTTGATGTACGGGCTTGTGCAGGATTCCCGGTCTCCTCGTCATACATTTGTAAGTCTTGGTTAATGAACATTGCTTGCAAGACCTTCACTACCTCAATTGACACATAGAGTGAGATGGGGATCAGATACCCATAGAGGATAAGAGCAGTGACCAGATGGAAAATGCCTGACAAGGCAGGCTTTCTTGGATCATACAAATTTGCAGCATGTTTTGGTTGCAAGTACCACCATTCTGGCATTCCAAACTTTGTCTTCACTGCAAAGCCTATTGAACTGATCAAAGATATCAAGACAAGAAGTGTAAACAGGAAATAGATGATTTTGTCCATTTTCCTCTCAATTCTACTCCTTTTAGAGGGGGATTTTGTCGCATTCTGCATGACTTTGCTATCATGGCCAGTGAATATTACCACTCCATACACATGACTTGTGTTTCTAAGCTTTGAATCTCTGAGGAGAATCTGACTAGGGTCAAGAGCATAAACCTGACGGTCATACTCAAGATTACCCACAAAAGTATAGAGGCTAGGGTTGGGGTCTTCACATCTGATTGTTCCAGTGAAATCCTTGAAAGCCATGCCTTCATCTAAGGGCAAGGTTGCCTCCAAACATCTCTTGACCTTCAAATTTGTCTCACCATCCAAATTCATGGTCTCCACATAGCAAATCCCATCTTCATAGCTTGATGACAACAGAAGCAGGTCTGCAGGAAAGAACTGATCCTTCTCCACTTTTACCACATCACCAACCCGAATTTTCTGCCATGATTTGTATCCAAATAAACCATCCCCTTTATGGACACTAACTTTCCGGGTATTGACCTTCATATCCTGTATAAATCTACGCCAATCTTCCAAAGCTTCCTTTGCCATACTCAATCCAACAACAAAGGCCAGGGGGGCAATCATACTCACAGCAGAGAATGGGGCAATGGGTGTGAGAGACAGAATTGCAGCCATGAGAAAGTACAGATTGGCAACCCTCCGGAATTGCTCAAAGATTGCCTTGGGAAGGAATGTAATGATATTGTATTTTGTGGTTGATATGTAATTGGATGGATATTTCAGAGGCTTTTTCCGGTGGAGACGAGGTTGGTTGCAGTAGACAACCCGTGAAAAACCAGGGCCTTGAAGGGAATGGGGGCCTTCTGATTCCAAAACATTCGGACGGATGCAAGAGAAAGTGTAGAGATTGCTCAACCGAAGCTTCCCCCTTGCCCTGCCTGCCCGAGACATCTTAAGAATTCCAACTCAGATGAAGTAAAGTCAGGAGAAGCCCATCTGAAAAGCCAAAGTTCTCAGTCTAACACTGCAGGAATTCCCGCCACGGGGTTCTTTCTATCAACATTGAATCCCTGAGCCACGGTATGACAACAGATTGCCGAAACAATGCTGCAAAAAGTATTCTGCGCAAGGAGACATGTAAAAGGCCATTACCCAGTGTTAGTCCGAGCTATCCAGGGTCTTGGAGAAGGGGACATATATGTAACAATAAATGGATAAATAAATAGAAGAGATCAACCCGCAGCAGCAATGAAATTTTATCCAAGAAAAAGAAGTCCAATGCCCTCAAAAGGCTCTTCTCTTTTGCAGACGATAGATTGATGTCCAGAAAGACAGAAACTAATTCATCTCAAGTCCGTGAATTTTCGAGGAAAAAAAAAAGCTAAAGGATTTTAAAAGATTTTAAAATTGATCTGAAAGTAAATTTGCTGCCAACATTTTGGACTGAGCACACCAAACAAGTGAGGAACTCTTAATATTAAGCATTACCAATATCCACTCCAGATCTATATGTTCTAAAAGGAAAAGCTAAGAAAAAGCATAATGAACGAAAAGTCGTATTAAGTTAACAGTAAGAAGCAGAACTTCATCTTCCATATTCAACTAAAAGATTCTACTGCCTACAGGAATAAGCAAAATACACAATGGAAATCAATAGAACATCATCCAAAAATAAAATCCAGCTGAAAAGCACCTCAACAACCTCGAAACACACAAACACGCACAAAATCAGCGAAGAAATTGGATATTTTCCTAAAAAGAAATTATGTAAAAAAAGGAGAACAAGAATAACAAAGCAAATGCAAAAATTTGATCGACATAAAACAATGACAGCAGAATAAAAAGGAAACTAAGAAGAAAGTACCTGGAACCATGAGGAAAAGCGTGAAAGCTAAAACCTTCTCGTAGTCCTCAGAAGAGCAACCTCTGTTAAACAAAGATCGCCACTGAACTCTTCTTCGAATCGGATCAAGATCTTAGAGATCGAGATGAGGACGAGATAGGAGAGAAGGAGAGAGGGTGAGAAGAGGGTTTAGGCTACATCAGTTGCTCCGTTCTCCGTCCGAGCCAAATTACAGGATTTCCCGGTCAGTCGTCGGTTATAAAATTAGAACCCTTTTTCCTTGTTTTTATTCGGTGTCTTCGTCTCTTTTATCTCTCAGTTTTCAAATTTATGGCTTTTATTATTATTTTTAAAAAGATTAAAAATATTTGACTGGTTTTGTGTTGCTGTTCTAACCTCTAAGATGAGCTGGCCGTGGACATGGCAACCCTGGTTGGCTGGTCCGAACTCCGAAGAACCAGTCTTTTGCTTCTGCCTGAGTGGAGCTCACGTCTGCTGCTGCACTTCATTCCAATTTTTTTCCCTTAATTTTTAATTTAATTTGTTTATTTGTAATAAACGAACCGGTAAGATTTATTATTAGATATTTTTGAATTTAAAACAACTGCTATTGTGTTTGTTTTTTATTGGTGGTTGCAGGAAAGTGCTGTGACCAGCCGAAGAGATCGTTCAATAGAGTCCTACGTGTCAAGTGTCAATTCAGTAATGTCCAAACGGCATTGGTATTCTACTTCCTTTAATGAGCAGCTGTAATAAAATAATAAATAAATTAAGACGAGGAGCGGGTCCACCCATTCCCAATCCCAGCAACGATGACTTGTCATTTAATCAGACGGTGGTAATAGCCCGACTTTTCCATAAAAAATATAAAAAAAATCCTTGGTTTCAAAAATTGACACCCGATGCGGTCAATATGGACCATCGATCGTACCAATTCAGAACGGGGCGTTGGTTAAGACTTAAGAGGAACGCGGTCCATCGAGTGGGTGGCCCACACGCTGAAGACCAGGCTCGTCCTCCCTGATTACTCGGCTACTCGTTCGTTTCATATGTCATCGTTCCACGTCCCAGAAACGAAACAAGCTACAAATTTTTGTTCTGTTTGGTATGCTTTATAAATGCATCGTACACCACACTCTAGAAGGCTGGGAACAACTGTGGCATCTCAATTTTCAAGTGGGCCAGATGTTCTCCCCATGGTAGGCCCCCAAATAATATTCCAATTATGTGGCCCATGGTGCATTTGTATTGCTTAAAAGGAAAGGAAGACGAGGATCCGTTGTATACTCGTACTTTGGGTATGGGCCTTTGGGCTTTCACACTTGAACCAGGTGGTTGAATCGGATTAGCCGGGTCAATTAACCTGAGAAATATTTTTGCCTTGCACGTCTAGACGAGACGAGCTGATAGAAATAGAATGGGCCGGGCCCACCAAGGAAGAAGAAGAGAAAACAGGGTTGTGGGCTCAGGAGTTTGGACAGAAAAGGAGGATTGATTGATTGACACGGCTAGCTAAGTCTTGATTCTTGAAGCTCCAAACAAACAATGGGAACAAATGGATTCCTTGTCCAACTTATGTCATGCTATACATTTGGTGATCAAGTATTGGCAACCTAGAATGACTACGACTCTGTTTGGCCGTTTGCCAAAGTACTCTTGAGTCTTGAGTCTTGAGTCTTGATGGGGGGGTCGTTGTTGTTGGGTTGGTGGTAATGACACCCCTGACCCCACCATCACCATTATATCACTTCCATTAGGCGAAGACAAGGATGCAACTGAACAACGCTTTGTGCAACTCCCTCTCCCCGGACATAGTGGAACCCATTAAAGTTGCATTATAGCACAAAAGTCTGTTTTCACTTTTTTACTTTTTACTTTTTAGGGAGTTGGGGGGAAGGCTGCTTAATCACACTGTTGCGTTGCACGGTGGAATGCATGCAGACAACGTATAAATTGAACCTTGTTTTAAGAAAATGCAGAGTAATTTCTTGTTTACGCGCTTGTGAGTAGGGGTGCTCAGTGCTCACGGTTCGGTTGGGCTTATTTTTTAAATCGAAACCTAATCGAAGCTGATTGATTAACCGGTTGACTGGTTCKGTTAATTATCAGTTCATTGGTTTTTTATTATTTATAATATATATTATAAAAAATATATAAATATATAATAAAATACTAGAAATATATATAAAATATTATATTTTAAATAATAAATAATATATTATATATTATAAATATTGATGTAACCGGTTCTGGTTACATATCATTTTTTCGTGATGTATCAATTTTTTGGCTAATTACCTCATCGATTAATCTGTTCCCAAGTGGCTRGTGGCTCAAAGGATGAAGTGGAGCTCCCTGGCGGCGAACTGCCTAGAGGTGAGCTACATGGTGGCAAACTGCCAGGTGGTGAGCTACCTTGATGAGTTGTTGGGTGGTGAGCTACCTTGATGAGCTGCTTGGTGTGCTGCCTTGGTGACGAGCTCCCTAGTGTAGTGCAACCCGACTGCTCCCTGCATGAGATGATCTGCTCCTCTTTGTAGATGGCGAGAGCTGAGGAACCTGCGAGAAATGAATCAGAGAACCCGATGATGCTCACCCAACGGGAACACTCCGATGGCTAAGTTAGCACTCTGATAGTAAAGTACTTGAAGATGATATTAGAGGATGAGAGAACTAGAGAGCAAAGGTTACCATCCTTTTTCATCCCCCCTTCCCCTCTGGGGGTGAGGTCTTTATATACTGGAGTCCTCAAGGGTTAATGTAACGGTCACTGGATCCCTGCTGTGATGGGACCAGTTGCGTGTTAGGTGGGTGAAAAGCCTTCAAATGGTAAGACTCGTCACATTCCGCCATAACCAGGGTACAGTGGTGAGCTCCTCGGGGTTGTCAGGCTGGCGCCTGTGTCAGGCGGCCAGGTCGGCGCCTGTGTCAGGTGGCGGGTCGGTGTCTGGGCCAGGTTGTCAGGTTGGCGCCTGTTAGGCCACCAGGTCGGTACCTGGGCTAGGCTGCCAGCTCGTGCTAGAGCCAACTCGCGCCTGTGCCAGGGTAAGGGTGAGCGGCCTGTGGCGAGCTACCCATGGTGAGTTGCCTGTGGCGAGCTCGAGTTGTCTAGTTGTCAAGAGGCTGCACATTTGGCATGAGGTGTCAGGTGTCACAATTTCACTAGAGGGTCAAATCCGCCCCCATCAAATATATATATATTTATATAGAATACATATTTATTAATATATAATGTATAAAAAATATATATTATATATAATATATACAATATATGTATATTGACCGATTCAGTTAACCGCCAATTTTTTATTTTGGTTAACCGAAACCAAATCGATACCTTCGATTTTTTAAAATACCGAATCAAAACCAAACTAAACGATTAAGTTAACCAAATTTTTGGTTCGTTTTTTCAGTTTTTCTTGCTCACCCCTACTTGTGAAAAAGCATGATTTCTTTTTTTGTAGCAAGCCGCGTTGTTGACATCTGAATTTTGAGCAATTATATACTATAAAATGTAATAGAAAAAATATCAATAAAAAAATACTGTTTCTAAGCCCAAAAGCACAAAGCATCTCAATTTAGGCTTTTGTTTTGGATTTCACAGTGTTTTGACTTACCAAATCCTTAAAAAACTTTTGTCTCAAATTTGTTTTTAACAGCTCAAAGCTCAAAAGCAAAAAGGTCATCCAAATGGAGCCTATATTGTGCATTTGAACTATCGTTTGAAAGGAAAAAAAAAGTTTTTTAATCCAGTTAACTAGGGAAGCTTCCCTGCACACTTCGTCAAATTCCTACTAAATGGAGGCATAACGTGGCCAATCTGACTCATCACCAATTAGGAGACCCTTTGGATGGAACACCCATTCGTCTTCAAGTCCACATCAACCCTATAAAAAGTGTTTATTCTGACCCGTTCAAAGCAAAAACACAGTTCAAGAACATAGTTTTGTATTTTAGCTGATGTGGCCATCTCTAAAAACAAATAAAAAAACACATTATCATGGTAACACCCCCTTCGATTATTTAGAGTTGACCTTTACCCGAGTTCAAATCAGCCCCCCACAATGTCCTACAGTACATCCCCGCCTTGTATTGGGAACATCTTCCAATAATGACATCATCATTTTTGATATTATCATTGGGAGATGTTCCCAATACACGGCAAAAATGTGTTATGAGACATTATGAGGGACAATCTTGTGGGGGGCTGATTTTATCTCCCTCTACCCACCACAACCCAATGCGAGTTGCACTTCAACCAGCTGCTTCCTTATAATTTTATATGCTTTAATTTAAATACAAATTTCTTAAAAAAAATTGAATAAATTTGAATGCAAAAGCAAAGACTAGAGTGTATGGCGGGAAAGGGGGGGGGGGTTGTTCAATTGATGGATCATTTTAAAAAACCTCTTTTCTAAAGAGAGAATTTTCTTTTGCTTCAAGAGGAAGATCCATGAAGAGCTATAATGGTGCTTGGGGCCCTCCAATTTTGTCGAATTATCAGTGTCATATGAGCATTTTGTGGGAGAAAAATCATAATCCTGTTTTTCGAAGCCACTTTTTTTTTTCTTTTTGTTTCAAAGAAAATTTGTTTTCTTTTATGGTTCAACAATCAGAAATGTAGGTTAAAGAGCAATTTTTACTTCTCTCCCTCTAAATTAAAAATTGCATAAAAACAAAACGAGTTGGCCAACGGAAACCACCATAATGTGATGACGGTAAACCTGGATGCCGAGGATTAATGAGAAATCGCCATCCAATGAGCGTGCTTATCAACAAATGTGTATGAAGCATGAGCAATCAATGCTTGTTGTATGTCCCGCTCTTCTTTGCTCTTCTTCTTGGCTAAACCAAATCTTGAACATTATCTGGTGCAGCAGTACTTTACAGATATAAATATGTAGGGTGCAAAATTTTATATTTTGTATTATTTTTTATATGGTTTTAAAAAATATTTAAAAACGGAATCATTTTGGCCATTGGTTTTTGGGTTGACGGTTCGACCATCCAATTCAAATGGATGGCCCATTTTGACAAAAATTAAAAAAAAATAATTATAATTAAAAATAAAAAGTGGCCAAAACTATTGAACGGGTCAACGGTTCGACCACCTAGGTCAATGGGTAATTGACTGATTCAACGGTTTTTTGCTAGGGACCGGGTTTGGAGTAAAATGGAATCAATTGCTTGAACGATTCTCGAGTCAAACAGTCCGACCATATGAATCAACAGTGATTTGAAAACCATGATTTTTCCATGTATTTATATTATACATATTTGTATTTATTTGTATTTGTACTCTTTTCAAATTGAGCCTTAGGGATAGTGATATTGTTTTTTCTCTTTTTCTTCTTTTCACTGAACCCGAGAAAGATATATTTTAAACCACAAAATCAAGAATATGCTTTTAATTTCATTTCTGAAAAAAAAAAGCACATATATAAGCAATAACATGTCTTCTCTGATTTCGTTTTTAAGAATCATTTTGTTGACAATTATTAA